TGGAGCACTGAATGTCAAGATAAAGAAATTATACTCTGTCACAGTAGAAAACCACGAAAGGCTACTGAACAAAGGAGTGACCTAAGGAAAGTGAATTTCGAGACTACAATGTCCAAGATGGATTCCATGAATCAAGAAGACCAGAATGAACACACACATACACATGTGTATGTGTGTGTACATATGTACACATCTATTTACAAGTATTTATTAAGCACATAGTATGTGCCAGGCATTACAATAGTCCCTGGGGATACAAAATACTAGTGAAACAATTCCTACTCTTACTGGGAAACAATTACGTGTATAACAAACGATTACATACAAATCAATACAAGGCAGTTAATTACAGCAGTCACTAGCAGTTGTGGGGCAGGGATCATCTTGAGCTGTTTAACTGAAAAAAACAGAGGGATCCCATGATGCAGAGGAAAGGAAGAAGCATATTCTAGGTACAGGAGACGATGTGTTATGTGGAAGGAAGAAGAAGCAGGCCAGTTTGGCTGGATCACAGAACACAGGACAGGAAGTAATATACAATTAAGGCAGAAAAGATGGAACCAGATGTAGGGTCTATGTGTTTCTGCATATAACATAAATGCATGTATACGTACAAGAATGACAGGCATTGCAGGTGAATAAAGTAACCAGTGATGAGGAGGGATTAGGAGACAATGGTCAGGCTGCACTGCACTTGGCAAACTGCACCAAGTTTTCCTTGACATATCCTAAAGAGGTTTTTGCCATGCTGATCACTTTTAAACCAAGTAATGGAAAAGCTCAGAAGACTCAAGACTACGTGAAATCCACAGAAGATGGAAAGACGTCTAAGACACCCGACTAACCTGCACCATGTGTCCAAAAAGAGCCAGAGGAGCACCCAGGGCATCACAGATCACCTGTACACCATGAAGAGAAAGGAGGAGCTGTTCAGGTACTGAGAAGGGCAGGGGCAGCCCCTGAAGGCTCACTGGCATTCCCACGACAGGAAAGGAAGCAGAGAAAATCTTCAGCGGGCCCTCTCGGAAAGATCCAGACGAGAAGCACACCAAATGAGTGTGGAGGCTTGTGAGCGGCCCCCACCCTGACCTGCCACCCTCCAGCCAGTGAGGCTTCAGAGCCAACCGGGGGCAGAAGAGACATGCCAGTCTAGGAAGGTGGAGTTGGCCCACTGGACTACGGGGGAAACGGTCACAAATATTAGGTGCAAAGAGACAGAATGAACCAAGGTGCGCTCCCAGGTCAAGCACTTATCCAAGGAATCAGGCACCCCAAAGAGGCCTGCTATGTGGGAGATGCAGGTGAGGAACAGCAAGAAGGCTACAGTGGAGTATGGGGAAGGAAGCTTGGGGACAGTGGTCAAAGGCAGTGTGCTTCCAACCTCAGAAAACCACCACGTGAGGGGAGGCTCTCATCAGCTCCCAGATGGGCTGCTGCGAAGTCTTCTAACCAGGCTCCCAACTGTCTCTCACTGCCCCAGTCTGAGACTCAGCCTCCAAAGGATCTTCCTAAAGCACAGATCCGACTACGTCAACCCCCATTCAATAAACTCCAATGGCTCCCTAGAATGAACTGGGGACTTCTCTGTTCAGCTTTTAAAGTCCTTCTCCAGCTGGTTCCAAACTATCTTTCCAGCCTTACTATGACTGCCTTTCACGATAGTCCAGCTAAACTGGACTCCTGTCTGTTCTTCACACACAACACATCATCTCCCATTTCCATGCCTTTGCACTGACTGTGCCTGACGCCTGGAATGCACTCGAACTACACCTGACTCAGACTGCCCCTCTTCAAGAAGCAGCTCAAGTATCACTGTCTACACAAAGGACTTCCCAGTCACACCAACGGTATGTGCTCTGCCTCCCAAAGAACCTTGTGTTCTTTCCACACATGCATGCTTCTCTCCTCACTCACGCTCCCTGCAAGCCCCACAAGGTAAGCTCTTTGAGGGTAAGAACTGTTTCCTTAGCAGAGTCTCTGACACACAGTAGGCCCTTGACAAAGGCTTGTTGGCTGACTGGATCCTCTTAGTATCTGATCTACTTGTGTGAATGAGCAGAGTCTTCCTTTAACCTCGGAGCGGCTTAGTACTTAAGATGTGGACTTGTGAGCAGGATAACCCGATCTGTGCCTCTCCTGTTACAAGCGAGCCCTTGGGCGAGGCTACTGAAGGCAGCCGAGGCCTAACTGGAGCTCTGGAGATAAAAATAAAAACGCAGAGATCAGCTGTTGGGATACACTGGCTGAAGCTCTTTCACAGCTGAGGTCAATAATACCCATACTCTACTCTAAGTCAAAGGGGACAGGGGCCTGATTTCCAGGTGATGAGCAGGAGGCCTAGGAATCAACCAGTGCCTGCCAAGGCCAAGGTCTGTGCAGCTCTCCTCATTTACTGAAGAGCAATCACCTGGTCACATAAACATAACTCCATCTTCTGCTTGGCTGTTCATAGATGTGTCTGAGAGAAGTTATAAGTCTAAACAACTACTCCTATGGAGGGATAGCCACGAACCCAGGTGTCTGAACACTCTGTGTTAACCCTGAGAAGAATCCCTGAAAGCAACGACTTCAGCAGAAATCTGGACAAAATAACCCCAAATCTGCATTAGCATTTCTGGAGAGCCCCTATCCAAATTCCTGGTTGGAAACAAAAGTGGCCAGAAATGTCCCATAACTGCAAACACATGTAAAAATTTTTCAATGTGCTCTTAAGCGGAATTTAACCACAAATAGTCTCTACAATTCAAGTGGGCAGATCAGGACAGGCTTCCTGTAGAAAGTGGCATTTGAGCTAAGACATGAACGAAGTTAGAGCTTCTAAGAAAAAGAGGTAGGGGCAAGATAGACCACCCATGCAAAGACACAGAGACCAAAAATGGGACGGAAGGTATGGGGAACAGCACACAGACCCAATGGGCCACAACACAGATGTACAAGAAAGAAAGCAATGTAAAAATACTGAAGTTGTAAAGGTAGGACAGAGTCAGATTGTGCAGGCTTTTAGGGGGCAGGGGTGGGCATTTTATCCTAGAGAAAAGAAGTAAACTAATGGAACTTCATAAGCAAGAGAATAACATAGATAGACTTGCACTTTAAGAAAATCATTCTGGCAACTGTGCCAAGAACAGACTTAAGTCCTGAGCTGAATTAGGCAAGGGAGTTGCCTGTGAGTAAAAAGATGGTGATAAACGCTAGAGGCATTACCAAACAGAATTGACTGTAGTAGGCATAGAATAGGAGGTGAGGGCTGAGGGAAAGGGATGGGTCTAAGGTGATTCCAAGCTTGTAAACCATCGTGATGAATGGTAAGTTCTTTCACAAAATGAAATGGTAAGTTAGAAAGAAGAGAGGATTTGGGGGAAAGAATATTAAGTTCTGTTTTAGATATGCTGAAATTGAAATGTCAACAATCCAGTTGGGGATAACCAATAGGTAGCTAGTGAGGGAGCTCTGGAGTTCAGGAGAGAGATGGTGCCTGGAACATTTGGCAGCAAGAATCTTCTACAGAGAGATGATAACTGAACCCCCAGGAGCTGATCACTAACAGTGAAGACCAAGGACAAAAGCCTAGGGCACCCTAAGGCAGAAGGGCGGGACATGCGCTACGAGGTCCAGCAAAGGTGCTTGGGAAGAAAAAGTCAGACAGGTGTAAGAATCAAGAGAGAGTGACCTCAGGAAACTCCTGGGAGCAGTTACCACTGTGGGATGCTTCAGTGTCTTGGATATACCTTGGTTTGGGCCCAGGAGGAAAACAGTAGTCTGACTGCCTTTAGGGAAATGACCTCAAACCCCTCTCTGAAACAAAGGCAGGCTCATCTTTTTAACATCAATATTCTATAGGTATATTGATGACTACAATCTACAATCATTACAAAATTTAAAATGATTATCAGGCAGGGGAGAAGAGCAAGCTGCCAACACAGAATAAATAAGGAGTTAAAAAGAACTGGAGGAAATGATGTCATCAAAGAAATGTAGGATGGGGAAAAAAAAAAGAGTCTGGTCACGTGTTGAGGAAAAGAGTTAAGCAATGGACAGGCCAACTGTGACACTGGTGTCCTCATGATTTCAAGAGAATCTGGGGAAGAGCTCTGGCCCCCCACCAAGTCAAGGAGATCAAACTATGGAAAACTTAGGGGAAGGGATTCAGGACAAGCATCACATAGGACGGGCCACAGGAAACGAGTGCCATCAGGAACATCCAAGTAAGAGAAATCCCAGATCCATTTGGGTTCCCTGCTGCTGGAGATCATGTCCCTGGTGACATCAGGCACCAAAGTCTAATGAGAGGACATTAAAGATCTTGACGCAGCACCTCAAACATGAGAGGAAAGACAATGCGTTCCCACTGAAGGCTAAAGCCCTGTCCTACCAACCAGGAAGCCCAGGGCGAGGCCTATAGGAACTGCTGCTGAACTGCCTTTGAAAGGGTTTCCTTCAACCACATATGAAGTTTGCAGTGAAAGTATTCCTGAGCCAGACTTTCAGATAAAGAGCTCCAGCTCACAGCACCTCTGAGGGGTGAGAAGCCAGCTGTCTGTGCTCAAGGGAGATACAACACTTGTGCCCCCTAAACGGGGAGTGTGCAAAGGGATAAGCATTTCTGGAACCCACCTAGAACCTCTGAAGCTGTGATCAACCTGCAGTAAAATGAATTTGAACTACTGCTGTGTAAATACAAACTGCAGCCAATTAGAACAAACCCACTCATGAAGAGAGGAGAAAGTACCCTTCAGATAAAGGTGGCAGCTATAAAAGCCAGACAGCCATTTTTATTCCAATGCAGTATTCTTGGAAATGCGCTGTTTGTGATAAGCTCCTAGCACAGGGAGCTCTGTACAGGGAAGGCAAGCAATATATGTTTGCTGCCAAAGGCCTGTGTTTGGAGCCATTCATCAGCTCTCAGAGTCTTTTGCCAGGAAAAAACACATTCCAGTTTTCCCAACACAACCACCCTATTCGTGTGACAGTACATTGGTAAGGATTTTAAATTCACAAACCTCTCGAGCTATGCTGCTCAAAGCTTCATCTTCTGCAGAGAATCGATCTTTTACTGGCGTTCTCTTCCTTCCAGAACCAGGGGTCCCCATTTTGTTTTCTTGAATGTTCAGTGATTCTTTGAATTGAGAGCTATCATCAAGTTTTTAACCCTGAAAGAGAACACAGAAATTATGAGTAAGCTTTTTTCTTCAGCATTTAAGCTGCCTCACTCCATTTTGTTGTCTATATTTGAAATAAGATTAACTTTCTTTTTCCAGAAGCCATTTTTATTCAAGTTAGAAGAGTAGAAATTGTCTACTCTGTGACAAACTGTACTAGGGAGACAAAGCCAGTGAAGTAACTTACATTCTACTGGAGAGGCAGCGGATGAGGCTGGGCACTGCCTGTATAAAGGTAATTATATTTACATCCAAGGTAATGTGAGGAGAGCAGTCAGATGGTGCAATGGTGAGAGCACCAGGTCTGGAATCAGGAAGACTCATCTTCTGAGTTCAAATCCAGCCTCAGACACTTCCTAGCTCTGTGACCCTGGACAAGTCAATTTATCCTGTTGGCCTCAGTCTCCTCATCTATAAAATGAGCTGAAGAAGGAAACGGCAAACCACTCCAGTATCTTAGCAGTGGCTAAGAGACTGGAGAACAACAGATGTGGTGATGGCAGAAATGGCAAAATTTGTCAAGAGAACAAACAGGTGTGACAGGAGTCAAGGATGAAACCTAGGTTGCAAGCCTGGGTGACTGGTAAGATAGTCATGTCTTTAGTAATAGGAAAACTGGGAAGAGGGAAGGCTTAAAGGAGAAGGATGAAGAGTTCATTTTTAACGTTGAGTTTGAGATGTCAATGGGAAATCCAGTTCAATATTGTTGTTGTTGTTCAGCTGTGTCTGTGACTCTCCATGGCCCCATTTGGGGTTTTCTTGGCAGAGATACTAGAGTGGTTTGCCATCTCCTTCTCCAGCTCATTTTACAGATGAGGAAACTGAGGCAAACAGGGTGAAGTGACTTGCCAGGGGTCACACAGCTAGCAAGTGTCTGAGGTTGGAGTTGAGCTCAGAAGAGTCTTCCTGACTCCAGGCCCGGCACTCTATATCCACTGCACCACTAGCTGCCCAATAGGCAATTGGTGATGGCAGCCTAGCAGTCAGGAGAGAGGTTAGGGCTGGATAAGCAGATCTGAAAAACATTTGCATAGAGATGGCAACCGAACCCACAAGAGCTGATGAGATCATCAAGAAACAGTTAGGGAAAAGTGACCTGAAGGAAGATCCAGCAAAGGAGACTGACTAGGACCAAACAGGTCATCATAAAAACACCTGGAGAGGGAGCACATTCAGGAGAAAAGGCTGCAAAAAGGTGGAGCAGGGGGAGGACTGAGAAAAGTCCACTAAAAGGCAGTTAATGTGTGAAGATCGACTGTGAATGGCTTGGCTCTTTTCAGCAACACAATGATGCAAGATGATTCGGAAGGACTCATGAAGGGAAATGTTCTCTGCCTCCACGGGAAGAATGGATGGGGTTTGAATGCAGATTGAAGTACACTATTTTCCCCTTTCTTTATTTTGCCCTTTGGGTCTGTCTTCTTTCACAACACAACTAATATGGTAATATGTTTTACATGAGACCGCATATGTAGAAACTATATCAAATTGCTTACTGTCTCAGGGAGGGGGTAGTGAAGGAGGGAGGAAGAAAATTTGGAAGTCAAAATTTTTTAAAAAAATAAATGTTAAAAATTGTCTTTACACATAATTTGGTAGAAAAATTAATTATCTAAAAATATTTTGCAATTAATGATAATAGCTAACATTTAAATAGTATTACTATGTGCCAGGCACTTTGCTAAGCACTTTACAATTATTGTATCATTGGATCCTTCACAACCATAACAGTGAGGAAGACACTATTATTCACTTTTTATAGTTTTACAGAAAACTGAAGCAAATAGAGGTTAATGACTTGCCCGGGGTCACACAGCTAGGAAGTATCTGAGGCTGGATTTGAACTCAGGTCTTCCTGACTCCAGGCCTGACACTCTACCCGAGTGAGTCACCTCACTGCCACTCTATGGAGAGAAGGGGGCAGGGGAAGTGGGAACAGCACCTGGTTAGAGTTTTGCTTTATGAACACCATTTGACCAGGCACGGAGAGACACGAGACAGGCCCGCCCACCAGCAGCTATTGCAAGAGTCCAGGCCTGAAGGGATAGAGGCTTGGCCCAGGGTGGGGTCAATGACCAAGCAGTGAAGCTTTCAGAGTCACATAGTGATTTGAGTTTATATTTAGAAAGGAAGGCAGGCTGCACACAGCAGAAACCTGCAGTTTCACATGCAATCCTCTTTTTATGTTCTATTACATACACAGAAATGTTTGTTTTCCTTGCTGTTTAAATTCAAAAAAATTTAGAAAGAATTAAAAGAAAAGAAAAGAAAATGGATTGGAAAGGGGAGAGATGAAAGCCAGACCAATTGGAGGTTTTTATAATAATCCAGGCAAGATTCTAAGGGTCTGATGGAAATCATCTTTTTGAACAGTGAGCAGCTCTGGAACCCCCACCACGAACCCCAGAACATGGCAGAGTCGTCTCCTACACTGTGTACCGTACATAATGTCTCCCCGACATTCAGGGAGGGGCCGCTTCCTTTCCTGTCTGGTCCCCAGCGGCTGGCACAGAGCTGGTGCTTAATAATCACCTGATTAGATTCAGGGAAGCATCCAAGTGCTGGTACAGAGCAGCAGGGCTGATCTGAGACTAGACAATGACGCAGGTACACGACTGGCTGCCACCCACGGGGAGCAGGAGGTGGTCTGGGACTGAGCACTGGCACAGCATGAACAAGGCTGAAGAGTTCAAGGGTGGAAAAGAGCATAGAGCCAGATGGCCTGGTCAATGTCAGGGGCAACAGTGGAGCTCAGGGATGGCCTGGGAGAATGCCTGCAGCCCACAGTGAGGACAAGGAGGAGGAGGAGGAAGGCAGAGAAAGGGGAGGGGCCAAAGGGAGCTCAGAGGTGGTCTAGTCCAGCCCCTGCCAGAAGCAGAATCTCATCATCTCCTACCTGGCTGCTCACCTGCAGGATCAAAGCAGCTCTGAAACTCCTCTGAGGGCGCCCAGGTCCCAGGTCCTCCACTTCAAGAGCAGCCCAGGGCAGATGGCTCATCACATCCCACCTGGCTGCAGGACTCCCTCAGCCCCTGGAAAGGGCACTCCCGGCACCTCCCCTCCCCTCCACTCCCTCCCTTCTTTCCTCCTATGTCTTGCCGTTCTCCAGTTAGATCAGGAGCTCCTTGAGGGCAGTGACTCTCCTTCACCTTTCTCTGTATCCTCAGCACTTCGTACAGTGCCTGGCATATGGCACACAGCAGGCAGTTAATAAATGTCTACTGACTGACTGACCGTCTACTATATACACTTGACAAGAAGGGGGAAATTTCAGAGTTCCGCTATTAAGGTGGTACAATTAAGAGTAACAGTGAGGCATATGACACATTGAATATTTAAGACAAAAAAAATCAGGAAATTAAAATGTACATGAAATACAAACTTCCCCCTTCTTAGCATGTTTATCTATGAGCCACCTATAAAAATTTATATAATATTATTATTTCTAGAACACAAGAATCATCGGCAATCTCACTGCAGGGTTCACAACTGCCAAAAACCGATTTCTGAAATCCATTGCTATTCACAAGAATAAGAGCCATTTCCAATTGATAAATGGTGAAAGGACATGAATAGGCAGATTGCAGAGGAAGAAATCCAAGCTATCAACAGTCATATTAAAAAATGCTCCCAATCATTAATAGAGAAATGCAAATTAAAACAACTCTGAGGAACCACGGCACACCCATCAGATTGGCTAAAATGACAGAAAAGGAAAGTGACAAATGCCAGAGGGGAAGTGGGATGATAGGTACACGTATACTAATACACTGCTGATGGAGCTGTAATAGTAGAACATTCTGGAAAGCAATTTGGAACTCTCCTTAAAAAGCTATAAAACATGCATACCTCTGACCCAGCAAATACCACTGCCAGAGTCCTATCATACAGAGATCAAAGAAAGAGGAAAAATACCCATATGGACAAAAATATTTATAGCAGCTCTTTTTGCTCTGGTAAAAAAGTAGAAACTGAGGGGATGTCCATCAATTGAGGAATGGTTGAACAAGTTGTGGGATATGATTGTGATGGAATATTACTGCGCTACAAGAAATGATGAAAGGGAGGGTTTCAGAGAAACCTGGAAAGACTTGTATGAACTGATGCACAGTGAACTGAGGAGAACAATTTATACAGCAAAAGCAATATTGTAAAGATAGTCAACTGTGAAAGACACAGTCATTTTTAGCAACACAATGGAACCAACTACAGTTCCAAAGAACTCATGATGAAACATGATTTAGACATAATGACACCATAAACAAATGGTATGAGAGCAAGGATTGGTTTATCTGTCAGATCAATGAAGAAGAGAAGAATTTTTGACCAAACAAGAGATAGAGAGCATTATGATGCGTAAAATGGATCATTTTGATTATATTAAATTAAAAAGGGTTTGCACAAACAAAACCAATGCAACCAAGATTAGAAGGAAAGCAGAAAACTGGAAAATAATTTTTACAGCAAGTATCTCTCATGAAGGCCTCATTTCTTAACTATGTACAAAACTGAGTCAAATTTATAAGAATACAAATCTTTCCCCAATTGAAAAATGGCTAAAGGATATGAACAGGCAGTTTTCAGATGAAGAAATCAAAGCTATCTTTAGTCATTTGAAAAAATGCTGTAAATCACTACTGATTAGAGAAATGCAAATCTGAGGTATCACCTCACACCTTTCAGATTGGCTAATATGACAGAAAAGGAAAATGATAAATGTTGGAGAAGATGTGGGAAAATTAATTAAAATAATATTCATTAATGCATTGCTGGTAGTGAACTGATCTAACCATTCTGGAGAGCAATTGGGAACTATACGCAAAGGGCAATCAAACTGTGAATACCCTTTGATCAAGCTACTAGGTCTGTATCCTAAAGAGATCATAAGTAAGGAGAAAGGACCTACATTTACAAAAATATTTATAACTCCTCTTTTTGTGGTAGCAAAGAAGTGGAAATTGAGGGGATGCCCATCAATTGGAAATATCTGA